TAAATGACCTAAAATTTTAAATAAAATCAATTATATTTTTTTAAATGTTAATCCAGTTTATTTCTAAAAGTTTTGCAATAATTATTTATTTATATTTTATTTATTATATTTATTTATTATTTAATTTTTTTTTTTCGGAAGTTCATAAAAATTTCTCAATTTTCTGTTATATTCTAGATTATAAAATATTTATAATCTTTTTTTTTTTTAATTTTAATACTTTTATATATGCATTTCTATTAAAATCTCTATATGAATATATGGACATACATATATATCTTCCCATAATACTGGTCTTACGTCCAACTTGGTTACCCTAAACCCGCAATGAATTATTTTGCTGCCTTGCCTCTGTTTCTGGCTGAAACACGTTCAGTGTTCTATCGCGCTCTCTTCTTCTTCTACAATTTCTAGCCGTTATCGCAACGGTGTTAGCCAATTGACTCATCGAGCTATTATTTTGCTGTTGGCCCAATCGCGCGGAGCTTGAGCTTGGGCTTGAGTCGGGGCTGGTCGACAGGTTCCTTTGCGTGCTGTTGGCCACGAAACGAAACGTTTATCCAACAAAACAATTTGAAATGCATTTTGCGCATGTGCCAGCAGACATGACAAATTCGCAAATTGGCCGAGCTGAGCGACGCCGGCGTCGACGGCGCAGTCGCTGCTGTCACACACTCACCCAGATACCGACACTGGCGACGTTTATTACAGTTACTTCAATCAAAAAGGCAAAACACGGGCTACTCGTCTTGCAGCCAGGCAAACTGATTGCTGCCAGCAATTGTTGCTGCCGTGCAGTGGCAACAATTGCTGTTGCTGCTGCTGCTGCTGTTGCGCAATCGTGCGGTTAGCGGATCAACTGTAAAAACGTGCAACGTTTAGTGTTTAGGTGAGAAACGAGCGCAGTAAATGAAGAAGAAGAAGACGAAGAAGACGACGACGACGAAGACGGCAAAGAAATATCAGTGAAAGTGCGAGCAACACACGCGGCGTATGAGCAATATTTTAATTGCCACTGTTTCACACGTCGTCGCGCCTGTCTTCGTGTTTGTCTTCTTCTCCTTTTCCTTCTCCTTCTCCTTCGTCGTCTTTGCTGTTGTTGTCTTTGCTAAAAAAGACCAGAAGCACTTTTTTGTTAAGGCTCTCGCGTTGATTGAATTTCGTTTGCTTCTGTTGTTGTTGCTATTGTTGTTATTGTTTTTCTTCTTCTTCTGCTGTTTCTTTTGATTACGTTTTAATTTACAGCTGGCACGCCCCTTCGCCGCATACCTGTAGCCAATTTTGTTAGCTATTTGGGTTTCGGTGTCTGTTTTATATATTTTTTATGGCATCTCTATATACATAGATATTTTTTATAGCTCGCTCGCGATATGAACAGCTATGATTAACATTATTGTCTGCTTCCTTATTTTAGCTAATTAACTGCACGACGGCTTTCTTTCAACAAATTGCGGCTAATGTTGAGGGGGAAAGACAGAAAGAGAGAGAGAGAGAGGGATAGAGATATGCATCTCTCTTTCTGGCTAAGCCTATCTCGGTGTGTCTGTTGGAAATATGTTACCAAGTCGTTGGGCGTGGCGTGAAGTGTTTTTAGCGATATTTTCACTTTCGCTGCGTTACAGTTTTTCCAGTTTTCCAATTAAACTATTGCAAAATAGGCTTTAGCTACGCTTTTGGCGTTTATCAACACTAATTTGGCATTTATAATAGAGGAAATAAATGTTGAACACTAATAGAGTAAACATTAAATGGGGCAGAGAGTGAAGGAAAAGTGGCTTTTAGGCAAAATCTTTCTATGTAGTTCTCAAACAATCTACATAGAGGAATATATATTGATATTGATATATAGGGAAAATTATATATGTTGAAGCACGAGGATAACTTCGAATGGCTTCCAGCTATGACAAAATTATAGTTTTCATAACTAAATTTTTATATATTCAAGTCTTTTGCAGTCATTAAAAAAAAAAAAAAAAAAAAAACACCAATGAAATTTGACATTTATAAAAGCAAAAGAAAGCGTTGATTAATCGAAAAACCGTTACAAAAATTACACTTAGCCACGAAAATTTCACAGTTCATCTCTGCAGAAATAAAAGCAGACAAATGTTGGCCAAAAACCAATTAAAAACTTAACCAAAGAGTGACAAACCAACTCGTAGGCCGACTAAGCTTAACTTTTCTTGCTAACGAAACCCGGAAATAAAATGGAAAAAAAATGGCCAACACATTTTCCCACACATAATTAATTTGATACACCGTAAAAATAAAAGAAGGTAAATTAAAGCAAGCAAAAAAAAAAAAAAAAAAAAAAAAATACAACACAAATTAAACATAAAAAGTGCTACATAAAAAAAGCCAGCGCTATGCAAATGAGCGCAAATGCGGAATGAATGCAATGCACAACACAGACAGCAACAACAACAATCACAGTTACAATAACAACAACAACTAGGCGGCACAACAATCGAAAGTGTTACACTTTCTGCACTTCAGCAAAAGGCAGTCAAACAAAACAAGAGCCAACGGAGCCATAAACGAGTGCCATGTAATATACGAAAGCAACAACAACAGCAACAACAAGAAAAAGAGCAGAAAAAACAACAACATTGCAGTAAAAATTACCGCAATTGCGCCATCGACGCAACGCATGCGCCAACAGCAAAGTTGACGGCGACGCCGACTGCGCCGTCGAAACAGGTGAAAGGGGCGTGCATGCAGCAGCAGCGACTGCGACTGCGACAGCAACAACATACATACATACATACACATACGTGCCGAATAAGCTGCTTCAATTGTTGAGCTGGACTCGAAGCAAAGCGGCAAAACAGCAAAAACAAAAAAATCGCTTGCATTGCATAACATTTGCGAGATAGCTACAAAACTAGCTGTAAAATAAAAAGCAACAACAACAACGGTGCTCAGCCGTAAACATTGTATTCTACAAGCCATTTCAGCTGATCTAGCTGAAAAACTGCTATGACTGCCAAACATGCTTCTATTCGCACTATGTTACTTCACTTGGATGTCAATGTCAGGGGTCTTCGGTGTCTCGCTTTTGTTCTACTTTTTCGTTTAGAATGCCGTTGCGCATACGTATGTATGTATGAATGTGTAATGATCGCTAGCAGGCAGCTATTGTCACTTCTCTCGCCCGCTCACTCTCTTTCTAGCTTTCTTTGCTGTTGTTGTTGGTGAGAACTGGTTTTCATTCAATTTGGTTGGGCTTTTCGGGAGTTTTTATTTTTATCTTTGCTGTTCATCCGCTCAGTTGACTTGTTTGCACTGTCGTTATTGTTGTTGTTGCTGCTGGTGCTGCTGCTTGCAGGAGGTTTTACTCTCACTTTCATTTTAATGCGCACCATGCTTAAAATGCAGTTCAGCTGCAGGGGGAGCGGGCCGAGGGCCGGCTGCTAGGGCAGAGGCTTTTATTGCCTCGAAACGGATGTGCGATCGATATCAAGTTAAAGCTAACTGAATGTTAAATTTATAGCTGGGAATTTTTATTTTTGAGGCAGGACTTTGGATGGGAATTTAATTGCTTAAGTATATGCTTAAAGTGAATAATTTGAAACTTAATATAAGAGATTAATATAAGAGGAGGTACTTCTATGCTTGCCTTCTGTTTGTTTTTCTAATGGTATAGTTCGGGGTGTATTATATGACATGTGACAACTGCAAAAAGTCTCTCAAATATAAAACTCTATTATGGCCTTTTGTGCTAAAAGCCTTCTTTAAAAAAACCTCCATTTTGTTAAAGCTCCACTTAAAAATACGCAAATATGAACATAAAAAACTCTGCTTCATACTAAATGGAAACAGCAAAAGTGAAAGTTTAAAGTGCCATTAAAATAATAAAAAAAAAAAATTAAATAAAAAACCTACGTCAAAGTCCACTAAAAATTGTGACCAACTCGTCCATTAGCACAACAAAGGCCCAGGCCATAGGCTAACAATTTATAGAAATAATATTAATAATAATAATAATAACAGAAAACGACGCATACAAAACACCAGCAAATTATGCCCAAAAAAGCGCTTTATTTTCACCTAAAAAAAACGCTATAAATTTTGTTGTCGTAGGCCTGGGCGCGCGTTTCTAATGAAAGTGATAAAAAAAAACAAAACCAAAAAAAAAAAAAAAAAATAAATAAATAAATAAATTATAAAATAATCGCAGCGGAAACCAAATGCAAAAAAGAGTCACGAAAATTATGCAAATTATTTTAATTACAAACGAGAAACTACAACAAAAAATGCCCATAAAAAGGGCTACAAAAAATAGCTCGCTTTGTGACTGGGCCACCAAAATACCAAAAAAAAAAAAAAAAGAGAAGAGAAACAACAACAATGGTGACAACAATAATAACAACAACAACAGCAACAGAAGCAGCGTGGCGACGCACAGTTGACCCACTTAAATTGGCAAGAGAAACTGTAAACGAAACGGAGCCAATGCCAAAGCCGAACGAACGATCAAAGCCGACGCTCAGCCGAAGTCGTTGGCTGTGCTAAAAATAAACCGTGCGCCAGATTCTGCTGCTCCTGCTCTGCCTGCCCTGTCTCCCTTTCTCTCTCTTGCTCTCGTTGCCCTTGCCCAGCTCCTTCGGCGCTTTATCAAGTGCAGCAGTGAAAGTGACAGCGCGATACACGCATACATATGTATATTGTCTCTGCCATTGGTTGTCATGCCCGAGCTTTTGTTTTATTCATTTCAATGCGTTTCGTTAAGCCGTGCGCCAAATTCTGCAACTCCTGCGCTATCTCCCTTCCTCTTCCGTCGGCTCGTGCTCTCCTGTTGCTGCAACAGTGAAAGTGACAGGGAGACACTGAACATTATCGCACTCATACATATGTGAATTTCTACTCTTATTCGTAGCTCAAATTGTTTCATTTAGCATTTCATTATGTTTGTGTTTCATTTCGTTCCGTTTCACTTTAGTTGTATATTATGTATTTTGCACTTCTTTCTATCTCTCATTCTTCTTCTGTTTTTACAGGCAGGAAATCTCCATTTTTGGGTTTTATTTGCAAAGCAAACGGTAATTTTTTTAGTTTTTTTTTCGTTTTGTGTTTTTGTTTTGTTCTCTTTTGTTTACAGCATACAAATGTTGTCATACGTTATGTTTTGTTTGCATTCTTTCGTTTTCTATGACTTGCGAAAGTTATGAATGTATTAGATTTTTGCTTGTCTTGTTTGCCTTGCTTTACGTTCTCAGTTTTATGTCATTTGCCCATAAATTCCATAATATGTATGTATATGTTTTCTCACATAGCTCCCAATACCCGTTAAACCTTTTAGCCAACTCCATTTATCATCTGTTGATTTACTTTTTTCTCGCCTTATAAAAGAAACCCGCATCAGTTGAGCAAAACTAACAACGAACCAGCAAATTTCCCAACAATAAATCCTAGAGTTAACAGCGCAAAGCAAACAACAGAGGCCAACAAATAAAATCAAATACAAATGCCTAATTAAAAAGCCAAATACGCCATGTTGCCAGCCCGCATGCAGATTGGCAAGTCCTAATTTTGCCTGAGTGTGCATGCCAGTGAATGTGTGCGTGCGTGTGTGTGTTTGCATTTGTTGGTATTACTTCACAATTCACATGCAACAAACAAACATTGGCGCACTTTTCACTTACATACGCTTCGCTGCCAGCGGCAAACGTAAAGAAAAGCAATGGAAAGAAAAATAAAAGAAAATATTACTTCACTGCCACAGACCAGAAATGTGGTCGCCGTCGCCGTCGCTGCCGTCGTCTTCGTTGTCGTCGCATAAAATTTCGCAATAGTTGGTAATTCGCCTAAAAAGCAACAGTTACAACAACAGTAAAAACCTCGCAAATGAAAGTGAGAGTGAATAAGAAAGCGGAAACTAATGCAAGCGAAACCAAAAAACGAAAATAAACAACAACAACCAAATAACGACGACGGCGACGATGGCAACTGGTTTCTGCCGACGGCATCGGCGCAGACTTCGCTTAAAACTCGTTTGGCTGTAAAATGTGCAAGAAATCAAAAGAGCGCGTCGCCGTTTAACAGTGACAGTAGCAGCGCAGCTGGCTGCGCAGTAGCGGCAAAAGCACGCTCAGTTGCGCCTGCGCAGCGTCAATTGAGCGAAGCTTTTTGTTTGAGTGCGTCGCTGGCTGAGTGAGGCGGCGATAAAAATCAGTTGAAAGCTGAAATTTCACTTTCGCTTTTTGCTGCCGCTGGCTGCGCAGTCGGCGTTGTTGGCTTTAGTTTGCGCTGCTTCAGCTGCTTCCTCTGTTGTTGGCATTGTTTGTCTCGCTCTAACGCCTTGCTGTTTGGCCATTTCTTTGCGTTTTGTTTGCCGTTAGCCAAAGCGAATGCGGAAATTGATTTTGTATTGATTTGTTTGCCAAAAGAATTGTCCAGCTTTATACATATTCATATCTGTTATACATTTCTTTTGAAATCATATAATATCACGCATTTAGTATACGCCATGTTGACCCACTTTACAGCTTGACAGCTGCCCAAGTAGTGCTCAGGCCCTTATCAATTCACTCTATGCACTTGACAATTGCAAAAATAAAAATAATAAAAACTACTCTAGAAATTAGTGGAAAAACAAAAATACCTAAGCACCTAAGCGTTATCAGTGCAATTCGCCATTCGCCATTTGGCGTTGTCGTTGTAGTTGTCTGTCTATGATTAATAATAGCTTGTAATAATGTGCAATTTGTCCTTGGTTAGCATTGAAGAACTTAACTATATTCTCCATATTGAACTCAATATTATAATGGACTTTCTTGTTGCAGGCAAATCCACATCGAATAGCAAAGAAATCATCTGTCCGGATGACAAATACAAAGAGGAGGGCGACATCTGGAATGTTGAGGCGCAAACCGCATTTCTCGGGCCCAATCTGTGGGACAAAACCTTGCCCTACGATGCGGACCTCAAGGTAACACAAGTTAGTATCATTATCATCGCTGCGTAGTGGCTGCGTCTGTTTTACTACACCCCAAACCCAACTTTCCCGAAACACACAAAAAATTGCAACCGAAACAGTGCACACACACACATACACACACACACACACAGATTAACCCGAGTCTTGGTGCTTAACGTAGTGCGAGAATTGCATTCTCAACATTTTGTATATATATATTTATGGTATTTATTAAATACTGTACAGTTTATGTCCTCCATAGCAACTATTGACTAATACAAAATACACTACTCAACACAATTGCTGTAGTTATTACATGCAATTCAATTACCAATGCAATTACTTTTGATAACTAGAAAATTGTGACAGATGTATGATTATTATTCATTTTAGTTAATTTAATTACTTCAGCGTGGCTTTTAATTAATTAAATTCTGAAATTTATCAAATCTGATCAAACTGATAAAAATCATTGAATATTCATTACATTTTGATTTAATTACTAAAGTAATTACATAATGAAAGTGAAATTACTTTGAATAATGTTTTTGAATAAATGTTTTTTTTTTTTTTTTTTTTTTTTTTGAAAAGCAATAAACGCCTTTTGGTTATATTTGGCTAATTTGTTCGGTAATTAACCTTGATCTATGCAACCATAAGAGATATTGTTTAAATATTTGAAATAATTAAATTGAATAAAATTTAAAAGCCCTTGAATTATATATTAAAAATTTTTGGGAATATTATGCTTTTTCGACATAATTAGTTGTGTAATTATATATAAAATAAATTATTACTCAGTAATTATGTATAGTCAGGAGCACATTTATGGTAATTATATAATATATATGCAACTAATGCATATAGAACTTCATTTTAATAAAAGTAATTGACTAGTGCAAAAAGTAATTGACTTGGCAATTGGTAATTAAACACCACACAAGCAAACAAAATATCGTGCAGTGTTGTTAAATTTTATTTTTACTGTTTCGACTGCTGTGTGACCGTTGAGAGACAATCATTGTAAACAATTCTTTTTCGTATGCAGTATGCGGACTTGGACGAGTTCTTGTCGGAGAACAATATACCCGACGGCCTGCCGGGCACCCATTTGGGCCATGCCGGCGGCCTCGGCCATCGATCCGATTCCCTGAGCCATGCAGCTGGCCTGTCCCTGGGTCTGGGGCACATAACCACAAAGCGCGAGCGATCGCCATCGCCCTCGGATTGCATTAGTCCCGATACGCTAAATCCGCCATCGCCGGCCGAATCAAGTGAGTATTGCATACACAATGGGAGTAACAGAAGGAGAGAGAATGATCATCTTAATTAACTTTAAATTATGTTACTCAAAATATATTAAAAAAAAAAAAACACAAATGGAATGGACATTGCGCCTCTTTAACTATCGAATCTACTTAATATATAACTATATAATTTTTCTAAATATATATAAATGTACCACATATATCTCTATATATACCACATATAAGTTATGCATTTAAGAAAATATGAAATAGAAAATGTTTTTGCTCATGTCTTATCAAATGCTAAATGTTAAAGGCTGATTTCATTCCAATTTGTGCGAATATCAAGGCAAATTGTTGTCAATTTGAGTTTTCGTGATTTTTTGTTATAAATCGTTCCTCTTCCTTGGTTTTTCATTTACTGTTTCGTTTTCGATCTGAAAGTGAGTCCATTTTGTATTTGATTTAATTAAGAATATAGCACGAACAGTCTGTGAAAAACATTGTTAACATTTAGTATTTGATATTCCAGCATTTTCATTCGCATCGTCGGGGCGGGACTTTGATCCGCGCACCAGAGCATTCTCCGACGAAGAGCTCAAACCGCAGCCGATGATTAAAAAGTCACGCAAACAATTTGTTCCAGATGAGCTCAAGGACGACAAATACTGGGCCCGACGACGAAAGAACAACATCGCTGCCAAACGGTCCAGAGATGCACGTCGCCAGAAGGAGAACCAAATTGCGATGCGTGCACGCTATTTGGAAAAGGAAGTGAGTAGCCGGACGAATCGATAAATCAACGGCAATCGATAACAATTATTCTCACTTGCAGAATGCCACGTTACATCAGGAGGTCGAGCAGCTAAAACAGGAGAACATGGACTTGCGTGCACGTCTATCGAAATTCCAGGATGTGTAATGAAAATTATATAACAAATAAAATATATAATATATAAAAGAAAATGTGACTTTGAGCGATACGAAATACCACATCAACAATTACATTATAATGAATAATAATACTTATAATATTAAACCTGTCTATCGATAACTGATAAAAACGATAAAAATTATACTATAATAACTTTTAGTAAAGAGACAAAATGAGAAAAACCTAAACTAATCTAGAGAAAAACAATTTATACATGCATTAACATGTATTGCAAGCTATATATATATATAATAATAATATATATATATATGTTATATTAAGTAAACTCACACATCTACACACACCTATACACACACATTTGTAAGCAGCGGATATTTATTTTAAACTTAACGTAAAACTAAATGCAAAAATAACTAAAAAAGAAACAAAAAGAGAAACAAAAAATGTAACTTAAATTTTTAGTGTAGCGAAGGAAAAAAAAAAAAATGGAAATTCTCTTGATAACAAACTATCGATAACCTGTTAATGCGATAAATATGGAAGCCCTTATTAACTAAATTTGTTAATTTTTAATACAAAAAACAAAAAAAAAAAAACATCTTTTGTTATTAGTTTTTAGCGAGCAGATAGAAGCCGATATACATAGATACATATATACATATATCTATCGATAACACATCAATATCTAGTTTTCTTTTATACTTTGTTAAGTTTTGTTAGTTAATTAATTTTGTTTTGCTTTCCTAAAAAGAAAAAAACAAAAACACATAAATCGTGCATATGTAAATAATTTCGTTGCCTATTCTACAAATTGACTCAAGTAAAAAAAAATCTAAAACCCCCAAAAAAAAAATCTAAAATATATATAATGTTAATAAAGAAGATGAAGAAGCAGAACCATTTAGAGATGAGCAAAAGAACTTCCCTCCTCAGTTGCCTCGTGGAAAGGCGAACGGCAACTGTTAGACTAAGCGAACTATGATTTTTCTTATATATATTTACACACACAAACACACATACACTTATATATATATATATATATATATGAACTATATATCATAAATTTGATTATGGTAAACCTATTATTTGATAGTTTCTCTTTGTTATTTGTTGATAATGAAACTAGACGAAGTAGCAGAAGATGCAGCAGCCGAATTGAATAACTCAGCGCGCATATAGTCAGAGCTGCGAGATATGCTTTATAAGTTTTCTAACCACCCTCGAACCGCTTTCTAACATTTGGCATTGACAATTGACAGTTCATGAAGATTTGCAATTTAATATATATAAATACATATATATATATATTTTTAGAACCTTAGAACTTTTCAAACCACCCTCCATGTAACAATTTTCATTATACAACATTCAAGTGTTTCTATATATGCATATATATAATACTTGATATGATATGCTATATAACTTTTCTGACCACCCTCGTCATTTATTAGACCTCATCAGTTAAAGAAATCTGTATTTAATACTATATATTCTGTATAAATTTAAATGTCAGCTATGCTTGACAACTTTTTAAACCACCCTCTATCTATCTCAAGTTAGCATCATCATCGTCATTCGAGACTTTTATGTATATGCATATATATTTTATTATTTCTATATTTTAATGATTTCGTATGCTTGACAACTTGTCTAGCTGCCCTCGCACTACACTAGCTTCTAAAGCTACAAAAGCTTTCACAGTTTTGAAATGCTATTTACACATACATATATATCTTCTTTTTTTTTTTTGTTGGATATAGACAATTGCTGAGCAAATGCTTCACAACTTTTCGAACCAACCTCTAGCCCTTAGCCCTATTTTCTACCTAAACCTTTCACAATTCAACATATATTTATATATATATGCAACATTATATATATTTTTTGTTTTTTAATTAATTAATAACTTGTTTGGTGTGATTTTGCAAAGATCTTAAATCTTAATACAATTATATATTATGATCTATAATATATTATCATTATTATTACTATGATTATGATTATGATTATGATTATTATTATTATGATTATTACTGTTTACAGTTTTTAAGTTAAGTTTTATTTTTATTTGTTAAACATTGAGTTACATTTACCTGCAAACCTAGCTAAACTAAGCCTAACAAATAAACAAAAAACAAGAAAAACGAGAAAACCCAAAAAAGAAAAACAACAACTGAAAATCTAAGAAAAATCAAATAAAATTTTATACAAAAAAAGCAAAAAAGAAAAAAAAAACACGAAAATTTCATTTGAAAATTCTATTTTTTATGCAATTAAAATTTAAGACGTTTTATTTATTTTTTAAAAGTGAAAAAGCAAAAACAAAAAGCAAAGCAAAAGAGAAAGCAAAACAGAGAGAGAGAGAGAGATGAAAATGATAATAAAAATGCTTACAAAAATAATTTCAAAATTTTTATTTTTGTTTATGTTTTCTGATCTATATATAAAATAATCTATATATATATATATATATATATATATTATATATATATATATATATATATAAAGATATATATAAAGCAAGGATCTCAAGAGTAAATACCGAACCTAACCCTAACGACAGGCCGCATAACATTTGATAGATAAACGCGTTTATCTCATATGTTTATCTAGCTAACAATTTATAGAGATAATTCTAGAGCGAGTTGCACCCAGCGTTTAGTCCAGACAAACTTCCAACAATCGAATCCTAAAACACCCACTAATAAGACGATTTAACCTAACCTTAAACAAATAAAGCCTTTTGCACTGCTAAGAAACCACCTAGAGAGACAAGGAGAGAAAACAGAAAAACCTAAAATACATTGTAGAACATTTGTATTGTGGCAAATAAAGAAAAAGTTGAGTCAAAGTTTTGAGCTTCGGTTGTTTTGTAAAGTTACACAGATATTATATACGATAACGATAACGATAAACTATAGTAGTGTACTTCGATTAACTTCACAAACTAAGCAATTGCTACATATATTTGTACTATACATAAATATATCTATATATATATAGCTATATATACATATATATAGTTTAAACAAAAGTCGTGTTATATTTATATAAAAATATTTATGTCTAAGATACAAAATGCGCATAGAGGTGAAAAACATAGAACAAAAAACATAATGAAAATTATAAACATTAAGTGCGTAGCCCCCAGCGACTGTTAGTGCTAGACTGCTAGCTCAAGATTAAAGTGTGAGCAGCCCAGCTAAATAATAAAATAGTTCAATACTATATTCAATATTTGAGTTAGATTTGCAGAGAAAAAACAAAGTAGTTAAATACTCTATATATATCTGAGGTTTGCTTAAAATTGAAGGGTCAAAATTGGGAAAAATTAGAATTGAAAGAGTTTTTTTTTTTTTTTTTTTTTTGTAAATTAACTTGTGCAGGTCAATTATATTTAGCTTTTTCATTAAATTTTTTCAATTGTTTAATTTTAGTTTATTTCTAGTTCTAGTTATTTTTGAGCTTAAATCTGGCTAATGCTTTGGCAGCTAAATTCATGTTTATTAAAATTGTAGCATACTTTTGGGCGCCAGATAAAATTCTATGAGATTATTAAAGCTTTTTTCCATTTGCTTAATTTAATATAGAGCAAGCATTTGGGCAGTCAAAAAAATATAATTTTATGAATGCAAAATATTTCTAGTAAATGATGACAGATTAATAACTTCATTAAATAATAGCTTTAATTTCTTTTTCTTGTTTACAATTTGAGTTCAGTTTCTATTTATGTATACTTAAAACAATTGTTAGTGTATTTTTTTGAAGCACTGTTTGAGTAGCCAGGTTGTTGACGCAGTCACAGCGGGGGCTAAGTAAATGAACTAAGGCGATTCGCAAAAAATTGAAAAAAAAGAAGATAAAAACGATAAAGATGATGATAAAATTATACACAAAGTTTTTATGCAACGAGTTTGTTGTAGGCTCCAAGATTTATTTTGTTAGTGATTGAAACATTAGGTTTTTAAATGAAAAACGAAAATGATGCAGGAAGAGGAAGCCGAAGAAGAAGATGATGATGATGATGAATATGTATTAATATTTCTGATAAGAATGTTCCGTAACAAATTGTAGACTTTAGCAACAAACACAAGACGATAAAACTGAAAGTAAAAGAAAAATACTAAAAAAATAACGAAATTATGTTTAATTTATATATACATATATATGTATGGAGCAGCATGTTATTATATAATTATAATTAGTTGAAACTTTTTTGTAGATAAATTCAATATTGTAGCAGATGATTTTTTATATATATACATACATACATACATATATATATATATATACTTACAATACTTAGCATATATATATATTATATATGCTCTAAATGCTCTATACATATAGTACATAAATAATAGAGCAATGAAGCCATTGCATAATCGTAATCGTAGGCAGGGTTAAAAATAGTAACTAAAGACACAAATTGTTGCAGTGCAAAGCAAAAGAGAAACAGCTAAAAAAAAAAAAAAAAAAAATCCTCTAGATAGATGTAATACCTATTCATATATACAAGTTTGTATAATATTGAATAGATATTACATCTATCTAAGGGTTATGAGCGAGAGAGTCGAACATATTAAACCGCTATATACATATATATATATATTATATTATATATAAATTATATAATATATACACATAAATACTTATATATATTCTTACATAAAAAAAAAAAAAAGAAAACGTTGTTGAATTTTAAAGATCAATAAGCATAAAATACCATAAATAAAAAAAAAGTAGTAAAAAATACTTAAAAAAAAAATTGTTAGTTGTTGCAAAAATAAAAGAAACTAAAAACTGGCTTAAATTAAACAAGAGTTAAAAGATACACAGACACACACACACACACACACACACTGACACATAGATAAAGCTGCGTTTTGTAGAGCCTTTAATTTTGAGAATTTTTGGGCGAATGCAAATAATTTTTATATACGAAAGTGAGCTGAAAGAACAGAAGAAGCAGAACATAAATAAAAGGCATAAAAGTAAACAGCTAAAAGTAATCTAGAACTAACAATTTGTAAAGCGTTTGTATTAGTAACAAAAACTAAAACTAAAAACTAAAAAAAAAACATATATAGAGAGCAATGCAAAAGTAAATTAAAAAACAAAATAGAAATAAAAACTTAAATCTAAAATTAAAAAAAAAACTGCGCCTAGTTGTTGTTGCCAGCGAAACTAAAAACATAAATGAAGTAAAGTAAAAACTAAAAAAAAAAAAAAAAACAGCCTATGCAAGGACACTAACATGTACCTAGATATACATACAAAAAAGAAGAAAGCTGAGTAAAAGAGAAAGAGAGGAAATACAAAAAAAGCTAACAAACTAAACACAAGTGCTCGAAAATAAAAAAATAAATAAAAAACAAAAACAAAAAATGCTGCAGATGTATTAGTTTAATTTGTAATTTAAAAAAAAAAGAGAAAAAGTAATTATGTTAACTTTTTATACTCGTCTCCAAATGTAATATATATGTTTTCTTTTTTTCAAATATTTTTCACTGATTTTTCGAATAGTTTTTCATAGTTTGACAATATTTCAATAATGTTGAATTAGTTTATAGCTATTAATTTTGAAGGCGTGGCATATATGTTTTTAATTTAAAAACTGCAAAAAAATATGCAAAAAAAGAAAAAACAATAAAGGTTTAGATACAAATTTTGAAACGATAAATGCAAAAAAAAAAAATCAAGAGTGTTCTTATTTATAAAAGTAAGACATAAATTAAGTGTATTAATATAAAGTATTTTTATTTTTTATTTTTAATATATATTTTAATTGTTTTTTATAATGAATGTATAATTTTATTCCTCCTTCTCCTCATCGTTTTCTGTTGCCTACTTTTTAGCTTGCGCCTTTTATCAACCAAACAGAGCTTTGCGCTGTTAAAATGGCTGCATTTCTTCCTGCACTGTTAAGTATAAATTAAGATCTTATTAACTGCTGTCATTAAACAGCATCTGCTAAGTGCGCTCTCTTTCTGCTATCTACTTGACAGCTATTGCAGTTAAGCAAGCAGCGAGCGCGTGCCTTCGCCTTTGAACTCGCTGTTAACAGCGTCCTAAAAGCAGACTATGTTAACTTAACAGAATTCCGTCAACTTTTCAAGGTTAACCTTGACAGCGTTTCTGCTTAAGTTAATTTATGGTTTTCGGTTTTGTTTTTCATTCGTGTTGTTTTGTGCATTGTTGCTGGGGTCAGTTCGGTGTTGCATAACGGGCAGCTGCAAAAGCGCCAGCTTTTGTTGCCAAGACCTTGACGCGGGCAGCAATGTTGCCAAGCTGCTCGTCACTGAAATTAATTCAAACGAGAGCCAACAAAAATACAAATTACCAAATATGAACAGCGACACGCCTACCAATCGCCATTAACTTATTCAAAACGCTTACGAATTTCCTGAATTTTTTTTATTTCACAAATTCTCAAACAATTTCCGTTGATTAAAGGTAACAACAGCAACATGGGGAGTCGCATAACTGTTGTTCGATTACTTCCTATGATGAAACGTGCGTGGCAAATGTTGCAAACAAATGCGAGCAATGTTAACACATGGAGTCCATATGTAGTTATGTATATACATTCACACACATTCATACATGTTACCAAATTACGAAAAAAAAAAGTAACCGCAATAACAACATAAAACAGGCACTTAAAATGTTAATAACAACATCAAACGTTAAACTGGAAATATGCAGCAAGTTGACGCCGCAGTTAGCGTGCGCGCTAGCGTCTACGTCAACGTTGGACAATGTTGAACTTGAGCTTGAAATGAATGTGAGTGAGTGTAGAGTCTCTGCTTGACTGCGCTGCAAATGCTGCAGTTTAACATAGCTGTTGTTGTTATTGCTGTAACTTTCGTTGTTGCTGTCTGCCTCTGCTGTTCGTTTGGTGTCTCTCTTTATGATCGGCAAATGAGGTCAAAGCGTCGCATACGTAATGTACGTTAAATGACAAAACTTATGAAACAAACAGCAGCAATTTTATACATTTTTCTTGTTTGCCATTTTCTTGCCTCTCTTTTGTTGAGTGGCGCCGGAAGCACAGTAACATGCGATATAAATGATGAGCTTGTGTGGGCGTTAACATAACACCAACCGGCAATCCAACGTCCCTCTACACACTACACTCTCTTTCGCTGTCTTTCAGCGACCGCCTAAGTTTGGCGTCCTCTCGTTTGACAGTTGACGTTTTGCCGGCAAATTTCAAGCAGCACCAGCAAATTACAACAACAAATATAACATTTGGGCTATGCTCACTTGAAGAGAGCTCCCAATTGATGACGTAACAGCGCTGCCGAATGCCTAAGAGAGCTGTGACATAATCGCATGACAACGTATATGTTTATGTGTGTGTGCCAGAGAGCGAGCACGAAAGAGACATCGCTGCCTCTGCTGCTGGCGCTGCTGCTGTTATGTTGTGCGCTGGGGCTCGCTCGGTTGCTCCGTTTGCTTGCGGTTAGCACTCAATGCCTTCATTTGCTGTCGAACAGCGGCCGTGGCAAGTACAGCAAAAATTAGTTAGCGCTCGCGCGCTTACGAGCAGCATTCGAACACGTTGCCCTACACACACACACAGCTGGCGCCCTCTCCGCTCGTCGCGTAATCGTAACCGTAACCGTAACGTAAGCGCATTACAAAACAACGTCAACGCGTCGTTATTTTGTCAACGTAACCAGCAGTGCTTTTGTCGTTATTATATGCGACTGTGTGTGCGTGTACGTGTGTTTACATATATATGTGTGTCTATGCTCAATTCGCTAAGCATAAATTTTAAAATCAGTTAATCCCAAGCAACAAGAAAAGGAAGAGGAAGAGAAAAAACAAAACGTATTTGTTTGCTCCGCGCGTTATGTGTAAAACCCGTCTGTGGGTTACGTAAAGCCGAGTTGTTGGGTTCTTACAAAACAAAAAGGCAAAGAAAAAACGCAAAGGCAGAAGTTACGCGCACGCCTCGACTAAAGACACAACAAAATCATTAGTAAAAAAAAAAGGAAAAATATAGAAAAATTATAAAAAGAAATTAAGAAATTGAGCTAAGAATTTTTTGCACTGTTTTGTTGTTGTCTCGCGTGTGGCAATAAATTTTGACACAAAAGAATTTATTGTGTGTGCGTACGTGCGTGTGAGTGTCTGTGCGTGTGTGTGTCTGCTCAGACAGGAGGCGCGGTCGTGCAGTACAAGTAAAAACGAGAAGAAGAAGAAGCAACCGCAGTAGCAGCAGCCGCCGCAACAGCAGAATCAGCAGTTGTCAGTGCGACAGGTAAATTAAAATATCAAAGAGAGAATGGCGCTAAGAGAGGTAGAGAGAGAGAGAGAGAGAGCACGCATGCACAGCAGCCGCAGTGCTACACGCGCACTCAGTGGTCTCTCTTTCTCTCTTCTGTCTATGTTACGACATCAGGCCACACGCCGTCTGCTCTGTGTGCGTGTGTCACTCTGTGTGTGAGTGTGTGTGTGTGTGTATGCAATGTGAATGAACGCGCGCTCAACTTAGTTGCATTTGCTCTTTGAATAACAGTAGCAGCAGCAGAAATAAAGGCAACGCCAGCAGCAGCTGTGAGCAGCAGAAGAAAAACGGTTTTTCACTTGCGTTGTTGTTGTCGTTGTCGTTGCTGTTTCTGCGAATTGAGTGTGAAAACAAAATGCGCTGCAGCGCGCTGTTAGAGTGTGGAAGAGAGCCTAAGAGAGTCTGGGGGGTGGCGGGCGAGTCCCATTTTGCGCCGCTTACGTGTTGCCATATTTTTAAAGGCATTACTAAGCGGTTTTCTGTTTTTGTTTGCGCCATTTGTTGTTGTCCCTGTTGTTGTTCTACGTGTTGTTGTTGACGTTCTGGCAAATCAAATTGGCCGCACTTGATAATAATTTATATTTAATTTGTGATAAAAAGCAAAGTCTGAATAATATTTCTTGATAAAAATATAAATATATATGTGAATATGGCTATTCATTTAAATCAAATGATGTAATTTTGTTGCAAAATAATTAAATGCCAATTTACAATAAATTAAAATGAAAAACGTGCTATAAAACATGTTTATTATGTGAAACTAATAGAAAGGGAAAGAAATATTGAATATATAATAATTGGAGCAAATTATTGCTTTAATACAAATACAAAAAATTTTGAATTTTTTAAATTTAAATTTATTAACTTATAAAAATTCATTTATTTTAATATATTATATTATATTTGTTAATTAATAATTTTTGCGTATACATGTATTTAATTTCATATATTTATATAAATTATTTTTGATTGTATTCATTTATAATAGCTAGTTTAAACAATTTTAGAAGCTTGCGCTCATTTGCAAATTCAAATAATTATTATAATTAAAAATTAGGACAATTAGGTATAATTTCCGTAAACTATTTTATAGCGCACTCTAAATGGTTATTAAAATTTTTAATTATATTATTTAACCACTTTGGTGCTTGCTTCGTTGTTTTTCATGCTTCAAGTTGATGGAAATGCAACAAATTGCTGCAGCAGCAGCATTAGCAACAACAACAACAACATTATTTGCAACAGCAGCGAAACGCTTGTCAAATTAACGGACCCATTAGCTTTTGCTCCACCCCCAAGCCCTCGCTCTTCCCTTCTCTCTCACAACTCATCTGGGGGCAACGTTTGCCGGCTGCAGTTTACGTGACGCGAGCAGCGTTTGTCGCCCCAACGCGTCGTTTGACGCTGACGTCGTTGTTGTCGCTGGCGCTGACGCTGACGTTACGACACGCGACGCATTATGCGACCGAACAACAACAACAACAACCACAGCTGAAACAACGACGGCTGGGCTCTAACAAACTGTAAACTGTTAAGCCGTAAAACCTTTAACTGAACATTGCAAGCAAAATATTTCCTTCGATATTATGCAAAAAGGCCAAATGCAAAGAGACAGAAAATGGGGAAAAACAGCAGAAAGGCAAAAGGCGAATGAGTCACAATTGGCCAATTGGCCCTTATATAAATGCAAATGGCTTACGACAATTAGTCAGAATTTGAAGTAAATTTCATTATGCAATCGTGTGACAAATGTGGAGAAAGAAAAAAAAAAAAAAAAAAAATAAGAAAACGAAATGGAAAATAGAATGTTTTTCCCCCCAAGTCAATAATTATTTTCGCCCCCTTCTGTCTCTTTTCGTCTGCTGTGCGATGGCGTTTATTGTGGCCATAAAACGCGCCGTAAAAAACCAAATGAAAAGCCAATAAAACAAATATCAAAGCAGAAATCACACACAGCAACAAGCAGCAGCAGCAATAGCAACAACAGCAACAACAACGCAGCTAGGAAAAATGCTTATGAAAATTGTATAATAAGTTCGAAGGCGATTTCATAACACTTTGAATTGTGCGCAGCTCGCAGCTCGCAGTTCGTGTTTATTGAATGGCAATCACAGCAATTATGTAATTTCATTAGGCCCAAAAGTTTTATGCCTTTCTCACACACACGCACACGCACATACACACTTGTGGAGTTAGCTGAGTGTGTGTGGGCGGGGTTTGGGTAAACCTTTCGCCGTATTTGCATTTGACATTGCATTTCAGGGCAAATTTCTTGTCGCCACCCGCAACAATTGACTTAAGTAATAATAAGTGCAAGCAAATGGCATAGTTCATATGCGTAGAACAGGACTAGTAAATACCCTGGAAATATAAAATTGTAGCAGATGAAAAATAAACATTTACAACTTAGTCTTGGCATTCTATTTCATATAATACTGTTCACTGATAAAGCCATATTTGTATGCAACTGTGAGAAAGTCTAATCAATTTCAGTCAGTCTAGCTGTCTATTTATTTGTTATCTTTCTCTAAAGCAAAATTGATCAGGGATCAAATTCATTCATTTTCATTTCATTTAGCTATATTACATAATTGTTCATATAGGGCATATAGGTTAGGCCATTTCTGAATTATTCTGAATAGTTTTGCCTTAATAGGAGCGATTGCCTTAATGAATATTGATAATATAATGGGATTTAGAATTAGGAATTCTTTATATTATAGTCTATCATAGGTAGCTACCTATAAACTAAAGCAATTCCTATATATAATATTATTAAAAGTCATTTAGCTCAACTAAACTATAATACCCTCTTAGAAGCTGCGCTCAAATCCAGGGTATACTTAACAAAAGCTGTTGACGTCGTCATTGTAATTGGTTTTTGTCTCGCTTGCTGTCGCCGTCTATGCAGCTGCCTCTCTCTCTCTCTCTCTCTCTCTCTTTTACTGTGTCGCGGCTCTCAGTTCCAGTCTAGCGTTCCAGTCCCCGTTCCAGTCTTTGTCGCCAATTGCTCTGACAACTCGGCGACAACAGGCGATGACGATAAATGCAATCGCAAAAACATGATTGACATTGCATAAGACAGAACGCAGATGATATAATATATATATATGTATATATATAGTATCGCTATATATAATAACTGTAGGTTTGCATATATCAGCTCATATGCCCATACGACAACAACAACAATCAGTTAATTTAGAAATGTTTATCAGTACTGTTAGTTATGCAACACTAAAAGCGAAGCAATCTGAGAGCGAGAGTGACAGAGAGACAGATAGAGAAGGTGAGGCTAGCGATTGCATCTAGATACACGTGCGCCTATTACGCGTCGTATACATAATTTTTTGTTAACTTACGCAAAAGGCTTTAATCTTAAGAGTCAAAAGCGCGAGCTGTTCGCTAACTTTTACTAACAGCAAATGCGACACATGTTGAGTATTGGCCTAATAGATGTTACGAAGTGCCAGTTGTTTTAATACATACATACATATAGGTATATCGATATAAGTATATATACTAAAATATATGTGAAGCGTTTGCCTTGAGTGTTTGCTAAATGGTCAGACGCACAGTCTGAAGTATTTGAAGGTCGTTTGTAAGTGGAGATAAAGCTGCATATACATATAGTAAATAAATATATATAATATATGCATATATATATTTTGATAATAATAGCAAAAATAGATATTTCGCAATGGGAATTCATTGAAGCACAGTCTGCATTATAAATCATATAGAACAGCTGTTGCTGCGTGCTAGATGAGTGTGGAACAGATTGAACTCCCAATGGGGATTGCATGCAAACAGTGCTGGTTAACGCTTTCTGTCTGTCGAGCAATATGAACAATAATAGGAAACTTTATAACAAATTTGAATATATGGAAACATGATTGTAGTTTGTTTCTGTAACTAATGTAAGCAACATAGATGACAGTCTCATTATGCAATCAATTATTCATTCATTAAGTATTTCAGTATCTAGTTGAAAAGTCTTCTGGCACAGCTCAACATATTTCACAAAATTTCATTTCGAAAATCCTTCTTTATTATTTTGATACATTTGTGAAGCATTGTTCTCATCTGAAAATCATTCAATTTCATTGTTTCTATTGTTGGCGCTGCGGAATCAAATTGATATAAATAAAAATATGTATAAGAACCTTCGTGGCAGGCCACAAATATATACTATGTTCCTTTCTTGTTGTTGTTGTTTCTTATATCTTGATTCTTGGCTAACTACCAATATAGCATAGACAATGCTTTTCAGCATTACTTAACAACAAAATTTATGCAAAAGAACCAAAACCAACAAAAAAAAAAAAAAAAAAAAAAAAAAAAAAAATACAAATAATATTTGTTGGCTAAAGCAACTGGGCCAACAACTGGGCGTACATAATCATACGATTCACGAAAAAATACGAAAATGAAATGATGAAAAAAAAAAAGTTTGAGACTAGAAATCAACATTTTTATTTGCACGCAATTTTCTTTTTGGCACACTTTGATTTCGCTTTGTGCTGAAAATGTATCTCTGGCTGTTTATCTACGCCTGATTATACATAAATGTGTGTGTGTGAGATGTAAACAAATTATAACACAAAAAAGCAAAAAAATATTATATTGTTTACATAACAAAACCAAAAACATTCGACCGTTGCCAATGGCCACGACGCGCAGTTCACAGATAGCGTATATATGTGTGTGTTTGTATTGGTGTGTTGTGCCGGCATTGTTTATCTTCAAGATACAAATACTGAACGTTCTCAAGAAAAAAACGTGCGCACATAACAGAAGCAGCAGAAAAACACAACACAAACACACGCACACATCCACCACAGACACACATAGCCGCTCTTAGGCCCTGAGAACAGTTCTGAAGAGCGTAAGAGAGCATGGGAGAGAACGTGAGAACAACAGCAGCTGTGTGTCTGCTAAGAGCGCGTTTAACACTGTTGCCGTTGTTGTTCCCCATACTGCGAGAACGTTCCACTTTGTTTTTGTGTACGTGCGTATGCTGGTGTGCGTGCGTGTGTGTCAGTCGACGTTTTTGATTTTGATTTCGTTACTTGTGCCAGCGTCCGCGTCAGTTTGCTTTGTGATTCAGTGTTAATTTTCATAATATTATGTAACAACATGTGCGCTGGCTGACTGGCTGGCCCATTGGCCCGCAGGCAATTGAAATTAAGTACCATATCAGAGACAATAATCGTAGAAGCATTAATCATATGCACACACATTCAAATGCACAAAGTATGAGTTTCTAGTTCCAGCTGGCAACTGCTGCTCTTTGCGGTAAGTTCGTTGACCGTTTATGTAACGCGCCAAAGTCTTAAAAAGTGGGCTGCAAAGCTCAGAATTTTAGGCCAGTCAATTAACAGCATACGCGACAAATGTCACGTCACTGCACCAAGAGAGAGAGAGTGATAGATAGTGAGAGAGTGCAAGAGAGTGCGCAAGTAATAGAGAGATGCAAGTAAAGGCAGTTAGCATGAACTGTGCACTGGTTGAGTAATAGATACGGCAATTCTTTATTCTGCTGCTGTTGTTTTTGTTGTAGTTGTTGCCGCTGTCATGAAATGGGCAGGCAATAAAACGAAAATTGAATCGAAGAGAAAGAGTTTAGATGCCAGAGAGCGAGAGCGTGAGTGAACAAGTGTGAGTGTGTGTGGATGGCGCTCTTTGGCTGCGCGCTCTTCGCGTATGTTTGTGTATGTGTGTGTGTTTGAATTATAAAACAGAATCAAAAGCTGGCGATGTAGGCAGAATCAGGCAAAACGGCATTTTATATATGTTACGTAAAATTCCTACACTCACACACTCAGCGTCGATTTGATTTCTCGTCTCGTCTTCTGTTTTCAGATGCTCAATCGAGCGCGTCGTCGCTTCCGCTGACCCAACACCAACACCAACACCAACAGCAGCAGCAGCAGTGGCAGCCGCAGCAACAAATCAGCAACTCCAGTGACTGCCAAACTGCGAAGGGCAACGCACGCGTCTTCGCTCTCAAACAAAAAATAAAAATAAATATAACTAAAATTATAAATTATTATATATGTACATGGCATATATAAATATATACAACAAAAATCTAAATTAATTGAGTGATATTTTTGGAGCTGATATGTAGAGCTCAAAAGTCGTTGCCATCGACCAGCAGCCAATGTGAAGTGCATGAAAAAGAAAGAAAATATAAACGCATATTTAATTTTAAAATAAAACTGTGCAAAAACAAAAGAGAAAAGGAAATATAACAAAAATAAGTCAAAACTGTTGAAAAGCAGCGCCAAATACTGCGACGTCGCGTTGACGTCGACGTCGTTGAATACGTGACAACGCTCACCTACGAGCAGCAGTGCAGCAGCAGCAACAACAACAACAATAGCAGCAGCAACAGCTGTCAGGATGCCGCTCTCACAGGGCTACTGCATGAAGCCCTCGTTGTCCAACAAACGCGCGCTGAAAGCAATGCGCAAGGAGAATCAACAGCAGCAGCTGCAGCAGCAGCAACAACAACAGCTGCAGCAGCAGCAACATCAGCCTTTATCCAGCTCTATGCAGGCGCTGCTGCACAACAACAGCAACAATAATAACAACAACAGAAATGTCAAGTCGAGCTCACTGGAGCTCTCCTATTTGATTGGCGAGTCCTTTGCGCAATCGGGCAATCTGCCACAGGCTTTGAATGTCTACGAACTGATAGCCAGTGGACAGCAGGACGGCCATGTGCCGTTGGACAAGCTGTCCTCGTTGGCCAGCGCCTTGACGGCGCACATCAGGCAGCTGGGCAGCTCGGCCACGCGTGAGTCGCGGCTGAAGGCTCAGTATCAGGAGCTGCTGCAGTGGACGGCGCTGGGTCTGGGCCTGGACCTGGAGGCGGAACAGGATCTGCTGGACACGCGGGAATTGCGTGTGCCCAGTCCGGTCTTGGGTGAGGATTACGATCCACTGCTCTGTCCGCTCTGCTCGGATCTGCTGCGCAGTCCGGTGACCACGAACTGCGGCCACACGTTTTGTGGCCAGTGCTGCGAGACGATCACCCAGTGCAACATTTGCCACATAAAGTTTCCGCGCAGCGCCGAGCGCATGCCGCAGGGCGTGGCACTCACCAGCACCACCAGCACCAGCGCCACTGCGAGTGGCGGCGCCATCAGCAGCATCAGCTCAACTCACTCGCCCAGCTCTTCGCTGCGTTTCATGACGGGTTTGCCTCCTGCTCCAAGTGGAGGTAGCTTTCAGCATGGCCTCGGATTGCGTCTGTCGATGGCGGCACCCACCACAGTGACCACCACCACGGTGGCGTCCACCACAGCCACAGCCACCACAACAATGGCCTCGAGCAGCTCGGCCTCGGCGCTGGTCGCCGGCATGGGCGGCGGCTATGCGCTGGGCGTGACCACGGCCATGAAGTTCATGCCGGATGTCCTCATCAGGCACCTGGTGGAGAAGTGGTGGGGACCCGAGCTGCAGGCCAAGAAGATCATCGAGAAGGCGACCAGCTGCATGCATCTCAACCGACTCGACGATGCCCTCAAGTTCTGCAATGCCAGCCTAGAGAAAGGTGAGTTCAATTCAAGTGTTTCCCTATATCTTAAGAATTTCACTCAATCCACCCAATATCATATTTGATTAAGAACTGTCTTTAAGCCATCATTGATATATCTGAAATAGTATATGTATTTGTTGTCCTTTATTATGAGGTCAAGGCGCAGGCCAAACATAAAAAATGGAAATCATGTCAGGTCAATGTAAATTTTTTAGCATTAGCTTTGCTGTACACTGAGAGACTTTTAATCAAATTAAGGCAATTTCTTTTATTTTTCACTGCAAACAAAATAATAAAAAAATAAAATAAAAAGAAAATTGTACACTGGAAAAAAATCTAAGAAAAAGTTAACGTCCCTTTATATAACACTGTGAAATAACAGCTGTGAAGCGGTCTAAAAAAGTATACATATATTATATATTAGATAACGTTAGAGACAAGCTGTTGTATAGCACATATATAGCTTATCTTCAGTTCATTATATATAGCATTCACAATATATATAGCTGATATGCTTTTTTATGTCACAGTATTTATACCTTTGCTCAAATATTTGTCTGTCGCATCTGGTTTTTTCCAGTTCTATAAATGTCTTTCGACAATGCTATATAAAACCACACCTACAGTAAACACTGATTCATATATAATTAGTAAGTTTTGTTCACCGAAACTTTTGCTAAGTGTAGCATATAAATAGCAATAGGTAATAAAATATTAATACATTATTGATCGGTCATATGCAGGGCCTAAAGAGTTAAAAAACAAAAGTTGCTCAACTGTCACAACTTTTCGCTCAGTGTAGCGTCAAATTGATATCTTTTGATGATTTACTTGAAAAATCAATAAAAGGATGTAAACACACGCACAGAGAGAGGGAGAGGGAGCGAGAGTGGGAGGGAGAGAGTAAGAGTGAGAGAGAGAGAGAGAGAGAGAGCTGCAGCTAAATGCTGTTGCTGACGTCAGCAGCAAAACTACGCAACAGGTTTTTCAAAGGAAAAGCCTCACACACACATACACACACACACATACACATAAATAGCCACCAACCCATTTAGTGCAGTGCAGCGAGACCCTGGCCTGGCCTAGGCCAAGCCAAGCCTGGCCCACAGTTCGTATGCGTGATGCGTGTCAACAGAAGCGCTCGAGCTGCTGGCATCATTTGTCAACTCTTATTGTTGTTGCTGTTGATTGTGGTTGCTCTAATTGTGTTGTTGACTTTTCGGTTTCTCCTCTCTCTCTCTCTCTCTCAGTTTCTTTCGTTTGCTCTGCCTTTCTTCTGTATGCCAAGGACTCGCCCATTAAATATTTACTAGGCAAATTCCAAGCGAAAATGAGGTGGCATATCATTTGGGACATTTGCCAAGCATACGACATACCAAATTAAATTCTGCACTTAAGGGCCAACAGGGGCAACAGCAACAACAAAAACAACAACAACATCAACATCTTTAATAAAATCTTAGACTTTTGAATTGCTTTGACAACACTCCATTTTGGAGATTATATTGCAGACAGATACTGCTGCCTGGCACTGTGCTTGAATAATTGACGCGTTGAGTCAACGCGTTTGCGAGGATTTTCCCAGTCGCACGTAGACAACAGCAACAACAACGAAAAGTACTGAAACAACAACAACAAATGGCTAATTAATCATTGGCGACACTTTTGGCCACCTCCACATCAGCTCCACAAATAGTTGGCCAAAGATTTTTTATGTTTTTGTTTTTGTTTTTGTTTTTTTTCTACCTAATTTTCTGCTCATTTCTTTTCCATTTTTTGTGTGCTTTTAAATTTATTCTATTTTCAATTTCCATGTTATTTTTTCTGAAAAATCACGTCGATCCACGCACTTAGAAATCCATCAAACAAGTTTGAGCAGAGAAAGAAACCAAGCGGCGAGCCACTTGACTGGATGGCAGATGCCAGATGAAACGTTTAGTGGTGTAGTGGCAGCGGAGGCGGTGGGGCGTGTCTGTGTGTCGGTAGAAAATGAAAGGAAATCGCAGCGATGTGGCAGGCAACAGCTGATGGGCAATTTTCACACAATTGAACCAAAAATTAAGCAGATCAATTAAAATGGCAGAAGAAGAGCCAGAGGGAAGGTAAATCTGAAATGTAAATGAAAATAGATTGTGAGTAGATGGGAGAACAGATAAAAAGCAGAAGAGACAAACAAAAGTACAAGTTAATAATAGCTGAAGTCAAATAGATTTGGCACACATCATATTTTTAGATCACAGCAAAAGAAAATTGATTAGATAATGAGTAAATCATAATTCATGATAAACAAGCAATATTTTTGGAACGCAATAGATGAAAAGCAATAAATATAAATAAAATATAATATGTCATAGACAAAGATAATAATGGAAAATAATGAGAAGGAAAGTTATTAAATTTAAGTTTAATATTAGTATAATAATTTTGGTATAAAATACAACTAAAATCACATTAGAATTATAGTTCTCTACCTGAAAATATACAGCTAGGAAATAGACAGATGGACCTATATCTATATATTGCCTCCATTTCTTAGGGAAATTGTCTTCTTTTGAATTCGCATTATTGATTTTCTTCAAATATTTTGAGCTTGGGTAAATATTTGCTTTGATCTTCATATAGCAGACTTTTTTTTTTTTTTTTTTTTTGACAAATTCAATATTAAATATTTGAGTATTTATCCAATTCGAGGTCGAGTTGTTTGCTGAAAGAGAATAAGAGCGAAAAGGTGAAACGCAGTCAAGAACTTTAAATTTGTTGATGAAGACACTTCAAATATGAATGGCATAAAGAGAAACAAATAACACTTAATGTTGATGTTGACTATATATAAGTGATGTATCCAATTATGATATATATGTGATATATATTGGGATATATATTGACTTAAAGCTAACTTCTGCCTTAAGAACTCAACTGATATATTGATATGCGACCTATCATATATTAGCCATTTCATATTCGCCCCTTATATAAGCAGTAAGAACAGTAGCCATCCACTATATATTAACACATATATTCCAATTATAACGCCTATGCCCATACTCCAATAGATCACGTAATAATATTGTATTTATTTAACTGATTGCCTTTTTTTTCGCTTTGGCCCCATGCCGAATGCCAAATGTCTAAGGCCTATTGCCTAATAACAATGTCTAAATATTAAGTGGGTGTTTCCATAATCAAGATACAGGATCGACAAATGCCAAGTGCAGGTGCTGCGCGCAGGTGAGCACCTAGCTGGGGGCGTGGGCTGTGCTGAGGGTTGTTGCGTGACTTTTACGGTTTGTCGCCCACACAAATAACAAAAAACCGAAACCAAAAAAACAGCAAAAACTCAACTGAGAAACTCGTGTTGCTTTCATAATTGTTGTTATCAGAGTGAGTGTTGTTCTAGTTCGAGCTGTAGTTGTTGTTGCTGGCCAAGTCAAAGGCAGTGATTCAAATGCGTTGATTTGGACAACTCAAATGCTAACGCATTGCCGCGCGAGCCATACAAATTTTCTGTTTAACTGAACTGAAAATGCAGGCAGCATGAAATATAATTAATAGCAAAACGTTGCTAAACACACGTAAAATACACACGCACATACACACACATTTATATATATATATTGTTATTTTTAAGCATTGTATATATATGTATGTATTTTTTTTCCACATTTCTTGAGTTCCCCTCACTATCAGTTATTGACTTTTGCGCTGATAAAAATTAGTCAAAGAATGAACAACAAAAAATATAAAAGAAATTTAATACAAGCTAATAATCTTTGTTGTTGATAAACAGCAGAAACAGAGAAGAAAACACAAGCAAAATGCTGCGTCATTGCGTTTAGTCGAAGCCAAAAGTCAAAGTCAATTAGCCGCAAATCAAACTACAAATCACACAAAAACAAGCCAGGCAGCGTTGCCAGATCGCTGTGGCCACTTGGCCAAGGGCAACAAACACAAGCAGCTCCACTTGCCACTGCGGCAACAGTAAGAAGTGTTTGCTTTCTGCCTTTCGAATGAGCCACTTAACATTCAGGCACTAAATGAGCCACAACACGTGGCAGACATGAAGAAGATTACCAACACCCTACACCTACACACACACACACCCCCACACACACTAGCACACACTTGGTAGATACTAGCTGAGCTGGCTAATATAGTCGTCGACCTCATGCAACATGCTCGTGTGCCACATGTGGCATGGCGAATTTGCAATTACAACCACGACTGAGCACAAAAAAAAAAAAAAAAAAAAAATAATAATACAAAAGTGCTTTATAGCTAGAAAAGTGAACGACTAACAGATGCGCTGGAAAACGAGAAATTTGGAAGGGATTATAGGTATACTAAAGGGTATTTATAGAGTGAATTGAATAAAAAGAGAGGAGAAGGCCAATAAATTGCTGTGATGTGTGATTTTTATTTATTCTAAATTTATTTCAAATTGATTTCATAATATTAATTTACTAGCCTATATGGATGGTATATTGATATATAATGTTGTTAAATGATATTTTTGGGGAACATATAATAATTATATAAAAAATATTTGGGGTATTCCAACAAAAATCAATTTTTGGGGAACATAAAAAAATATTATAAAATATAAATGGGGTATTCCATTCATTGTTAAAGTTAATTAATAAATTATTATAAAAATAAATAAATAAATAAAATAAAACTGTAATATCAACATCAACGCAGCTATATCAATCAAAAGCTTTTACCTAACCTAGTCTGCCATACCCAACTTGCAAGCAATTGCAGGGCATAGCTCTAGCATTTGATAGCCCGACTTGCGCTGAGTGGAAAGAGTTGTTTAATAGTCGCAAGGATTCGACTGTGACTCCAGTGCAACTCGACTCCTGCCACACGAGTCGCTCGCTGTCCACTGTGGTGTGCTGCTGCAGCTGGCTGTGAAAATGCCCACATATCATGCAACGCGGTGGCATGTTTGGCCTTTTAGTGGTTTCTGCACGCAGCTCCCTGGTAATTTATGTACACACACCACATATATACTA